GTCAACTCATCGATAATAAAAGTCAACTAGTTGACTTCAAAATTCGAAACTGTTGAAAATGTTTAATACTCCACATCTTGCCAAATTTTCTCTCTCGCCACTAAAAAAACACGTTGACTTTACTTTTATCGAATAAGTATTATTAAAAAAAACTTAATAGAAAGGTTCGAATTAACCGCGAGAAAAGAGCCGAATGACAATTTGCATATAATTTATTGACTTTTTATATATATAATTATAAATTTTGAAAATTTGAAGAAATCTGAAATTTTAATTATTTATGTTTATTTTTTTTACAACTTGAAATAATTATGCATTATTATATTAATTAATAACTAACCCCATGTTATAAAAAACAAACATGTCAAAACATGTTCAAGTAGTAATTATATCAATTTAAATATATTAATAAAATAATAATTTGATAATTATATCAAATTTTTATTAATAATTTTTTACCTAAAAGATTAAACTCCAAACTGTGAGTTAAGTAGAGGATTATGGACTAATTGGTTTGTTATTTCACACGTGAGAACTCAATTTGTTCTCTTTGATATTTCCAGGCTCCGACAAAATCGACAGCCGGCACGTGTCAGAATACTAAATTACAAGGTTGCCCAAAGCGCACAATGTTTCTTATTCGCTTTTATTTAATTATTAAAAAAAAATATATTCTGTTATTTATTTTATTTTCAATTTTTGTCACGTTGCCAACCATTTAAATTATTTTTATTTACCACGAGTATATATTTTTGAATAAGAGATAAAAAAAAATTATTTTTTCCCTCTCAAATATTCGTTTAATTAATAGGATATAACAAATCGATAAAGAACAATTAATTTATAAATTAGTCGCTTAATTTAGATTTGTATCTTTAAAATTTGTCTATAATCTTTCAATTCTTTGTCCAATAAACTTTAATTTTTTTCAATAAATTTCTAACTTCTAAATTATGTGTTGTTCTATTCAAAGATACAAATTTCATCACGAAATTATTTATATTTTTGTTGAAATCTAAGAATTTTGAGAAGTTTACTCAATTAAAATGTTTGTGTTAATTTCAGACGAAGAACGAAGAGAAATCGGAGAAGGGTTTGGGTTTGAGTTTAGGGGAAATGCCAAAGATTGGAGATTCCAAGATTGTATACAGTTGAAGAAGCTTCGAATCTCTCAATTGCTGCCTGTTCCTTCACGTTCTTCCAACATTTCTTCTCTATTTGAAGATCTCACTATAAATCATGTCCTATTTGTTTAAATTTTCGTCGAGGCATTTCTACTGGCTCTCGAATGAAGCGCTGTTCTTCCTTTCGTTATTTATGGATACTTCTATTGATACTGTTACGATTTTGGAGCTATCTTGGCGCGTCGAGGAATTCTGAGAATTCAGGATTCTCTGGATTGAGCCGGTATGGGGGGTTTGATGATTCCGAAGCCGTAGCTCGAATTGGCGGCAGATCCCTCTTGTCCGTTCCAACGTGAGTCTTTAATTCATTCCTCTCGTTTCCTTATTCATATGCAACGAAGATTCTTTAATCTATTTGATCAACCTTGATTGAGGATATTTCTTTTAACCTCGACTCATCTTCTTGCTCTTTGGACAAATTAATCTTTTATAGAATGAAATACTTATCCACCATTTGATGCTTCCATCTCTTCACTATCAATAAAAATAGTCTTTCAAATCCGTAAGAACTAATCCAAATCAATACCATTCTTCTGCTATTAGTTTTATATTTTGTAAATCAATGTAATGAGTGGTACTGTCAATATATACTATCGTAGGAAAGGTAGTACTGCTCTTATAGCTGCTTTGGATGGGGCAATTCATTTGGTTGACAGTAACTCTATGAAGATAATTTGGTCCTTTAGCTCTGGACCGCCAATCTATTCGCCACATCAAGCTCATGTTCATCATGAGCACAATCAAGAAAATGCTTCAGGTTTGAGCAGACCTTTCTTTTTTTATTGTGGGGATGACTGGGAGCTCTACATGCACACAGAGTATGGTGAAACGGTAAAATTTAGTGAATTAATAACACCCATCATGTGTTAATGTTTTCTTTCGAAATTTGTTTCAGTATTGATTCTGCAATCACTGTTTTGATGGTTTTTCCTTTTTTTTCATTTTTGATAAGAATATATATTTTCCTCTTGGGATTCCTTGACATTTCAGAAACTACCTAAAACGATTGATGAGGTTGTTAGAAGTACACCATATATATTCGAGGATGGTACGGTGATGACTGGTTCTACGAAAACCACAGTTTTTGAGGTTGATCATGTGACTGGAGAGCTTATTCGTAGTCACATACCTGATCTCTTGTCATCTGAACTAAGCAATGAAGATCTTGGTAGTTCTAAAGCAAAAAGTAATCTAGACGATAAGGATTTGATACAACCTGGCGTGATGAACCCCCCTGTTGAGCCACGATTGTACATCACAAGAACAGATTATTCTCTGAAATCGTCCTTCTCAGGTTCTAAAGAAGTTTCCTGGAGTTTGAGTGTTGCTGAAATCGGAGCTACGTTACTCTGTCCAGAGGTTGAGAATCCAGTTGAGGGCATTCCTTGGAATCTTCAAAATAATAGTAGTTATGAAGTTGATTATGCTGTGCCATTGTCTTGCCAATCAAAAGTACTTGTCTTTCGTGAACGCCATGCTTTATCAGGAAAGTCGGGGTATAAAAGATTATCGAAGGCTCATAATGTTGATAATATGTCTTTAGTGTCTGCTTCAGGTTCGATCCTTCCTTCCCAGTTAAAGATTGATAAACATTTAAACATTCATCCTGAAAGATTGATGCTTCCTGAGCCTGTATCAAACACCATCTCTTCTTTGCCACCCAATTCAAGTAGCGAAGCAGTAGTTCCAATGCCTTTGATGAAGGTTAATGAATCAAGTATCTTTAAGGGGTGTAATAAAATGGAGACTCTTGCTGGACCTATTGGATTGTTTTTTGTAGTTTTAATAATCATGCTAGTGGGATTGATGAAGTATGGCAGGACATTGGCTGTAAAGGTAAAACAGCGTTTCTTCAATGAGAAGTCGTCTAGTACTTCTAATGCAAGAATTATCTCTTCAAAGAAAAACAAACCTCGAAAATCAAAAAGAAGTGGAAATTCTGAGAAAATGGATGCATCTATTTCATCAGAAATCGAAAATTCGCTTATGCAAAGTGAGGATAACTGGTTTCAGGACAATAATCTTATTGGTGGACGTCGGATTGGTAAACTAATTGTAACCAACAAAGAGATAGCCAAGGGTAGTAATGGCACCGTTATTCTTGAGGGAATCTATGAAGGCCGAGTAGTTGCTGTGAAGCGTCTTGTCAAGGCTCACCATGATGTTGCCTCTAAGGAAGTTCAAAACTTAATGGCTTCTGATTTTCACCAAAATATCGTTCGATGGTATGGCACTGAGAGTGATCAAGATTTTGTCTATATTTCATTGGAACGGTGCACTTGCAGCCTCGATGATTTAATTCAGATTTGTTCTGATCAGTCCTTCAACTCTATGCTTGGCTTGGATCAAGATACTGTACCCATGATTGATTCAGTCAAAGAGGTTATACCAGATTTGAAATTGTGGAAAGAAAATGGCCATCCATCTACAGTTGTTCTAAAACTCATGAGGTTCTCTATATTTATTATCCAACACAATAATGATCTTTAGTTATATGGCTTAATTTTGTTAGTTCTCATGCGGCAAATATAGTGTTTTCCCACTAACTTGTATACAATAATATATGGTTCTTGGAACATGAAGTAGGTTTGGTTTTGATAGTTGTCAAATGCAGGGATATGGTTGCCGGGCTTGAGCATTTGCACGAGTTGGGGATAATTCATCGGGACTTGAAGCCACAAAATGTGTTGATAATTAAGAAAAAATCTATATGTGCAAAGCTCTCTGATATGGGAATCAGCCAGCATCTTTCAGCTGATATGTCATCCTTGGGACATCGTGCCACTGGCAAGTATTCTTCACTAGCTATCGTTTCCCTTCAATACTCATGGTTATATACTACATGCGTTCCTGGTTGATAATGAGGCATTTTAAGTCTCTAAAAATGATGGGTAACTTGAGACAAAAATCCTATCGCAGGTTGTGGGAGTTCTGGTTGGCAAGCCCCCGAACAGCTTCTTCAGGGACGACAAACCCGTGCAGTCGATTTGTTTAGTTTAGGTTGTGTTCTCTTTTTCTGCATCACAGGTGGTAGACATCCATTTGGTGATCGTCTCGAGCGTGATATCAATATCGTGAAGAATCAAATGAATTTGTTCTTGGTGGAAAGCATCCCAGAAGCTCTAGATCTTATTTCTCAATTGTTAAATCCTAACCCTTGTTTGAGGTAAGAAATCTTTGTTCATGAACACTAAAAAATCCTTAGATATCATTTATGTAGTGTAAAAGCATATCTACTTCATCTCTCTTGATAATATACCAGACCAAAAGCATCAGAGGTGTTGCACCATCCTTTTTTCTGGAGTTCGGAGATGCGACTTTCTTTTCTTCATGATACTAGTGATAGAATAGAGTTGGAAGACAGAGAGACTAATCTCATGAAAGCATTAGAGAATACTGCCCAGTTAGCTATAGGCACTAAATGGGATGAAAAGATGGAACCAGCTTTCATTGCTAACATCGGTTGGTATCGGCGTTACAAGTATGATAGCGTTCGAGACTTGCTGCGAGTTATGCGCAATAAACTGAATCATTATAGAGAACTGCCGAAAGAAATTCAGGTTTCCTTCCTTTTTTTCATTCTTTGATCGTTCATTTTAATGAGCCAAAATCGGTGACAACCCATCGTTTTGTGTTTTTGTTGTCATTTCAGGAGCTCATAGGATCTGTTCCAGAGGGATTCGATGGTTACTTTGCTAGTAGGTTTCCAAGACTCTTGATTGAAGTTTACAAAGTTATAAGCCAATACTGTAGGCAAGAAGAATGCTTTCAGAAGTACTTTAAAAGCCCTGTAGACTAGATTCTTAGATATGAATGTCTTGAAAAAAATGCTAAAATTATTATGGTAGCATGGTTAGAGTACTAATATACATGTATACATTTGTAAATATTGCTGAATAGATCTGAATTACTGTAAAGTGTTACAATACAAAGATCAATTTTGGCTCTTAAATTTCGTCCTCTCTCAGTACTTGATGATATTGTTGCTAAAGAAAATGAGTAAGCGCTAACAACATGCAACCATGATGCCTGTTTCTAACCCATACCAGTAGTTTCACAAATGTATGTTATTGTCCACGAAGATCATATGCATCAATACGTACCATCAGCATCACAATTGTCATATTTTCTTGAACTGTCTGCTGAATTATCTCCATTCATGTTTCTAACTGAAGCCTCCTGCATCTGTCGTCGCTTGGATCGACTCTTAAAGACATCTTCCTTTTCATCTGCAAAAGAAAGAAATCTATGCAGGCTTTTAGATCGAGATCGAGATCGAGAGGTTTGCTCAGAAGATTCAAGTTCTTCTGAGTAATGCTTGCTGTATTGGCGCAACATTTGAAAGACATATATCGCTAGAGCGAGCAAGCAGGCTAATCCACATATTAGAAAAAGTCCCCAAAAGCTATCGAGCTGAAGTCGATCCACCTCAAATTTGGAGACTTGTGATGTGCAAGCACTTTTCATTAACCATTTATCATGGATTCTTTGAAGATCCCCATTTTCGGACAGTCGTAGAATAGCGGTCGACATGTCGACTGCTAAAGGAGAGTTGCGCTGGAAAGCCTGTTGGTATAATGTACCATCATCAGATGACAACTAAATAGACAGATAGACAAGCAAACAAAGAAACATGATTGAAGTACTTACAAATCCCCACCCATTTTTGGTGAACTCTTGGCCAACAATACTGAATTCGCAATGAGTTGAAAGGAAGAGCTCGGCATATGATCGCTCGTCGACAATAGCAGCAACACCATTCTTCTGTGGACCATCATTCAAGGCTTTAACATAATGTTCTATTGAGATGAGTGGAACAAGCCTCGATTCGTGAATGCCAAGTTCCTCAATCAAGTAGTTTCGAGTAAACGAACCCTGCTGGTACCCAATTGGGTCATTGTTTGAAACCAAAGTTTCAATCCCTTTGACAGAAGAAGAAAGTTGTTGAACTGTAAGGATAGAGGTCAAGCTTGCAGTGTAGCTTGAGTTTATAATAAGAACAACAAATAACCATATGAGCAGCACGAGGCGACCAAGGGTACTGACCGTGTTTTCCCCTACACAAAAGACGTGAAATATTGAATCAACTTCCATCAAATTCATTTCGAGTTAGCTCACATACGTTCACTTACGATGAGAAAAGAACATAGTTGAGAAGCTGAACCTGCATCAGATAAAGAACAGAGACAAAAGGAAGAAATAAGTTTGAAAGCTTTGATAAGGAGTGTCTTGAAATAAGAATCCCACATGCACTCACCAAAGAATAGTAATAACTTGTCTCTTCGGAGGGCCACGAAAATCATCATTGATCCTATGCTCCAAAATCCAAACAACTACGCCTACTACAAGAAAAGAAACAGCAGTAATACACCACATTTTTGCAGTGAACGGCCGTAAAAAGGCCCAAGCATTAGAGTTCAACTTCTTGACTGGGGCTATGACTACTAAGCCGGACTCGATGTATGGTTGTGTAAAATCCGCCATCCGGGTTCGGTTCGTGATAATTGCAATGTCGCCTATCGCTGCATCGAAGACCTATAAGGAAGAAAACATTCTAAGTTTGTAACAGCCCAAGTCCACCGCTAGTGGATAATGATATTATCCGCTTTGACCCCTTACATATCACCATCAAACCTCACGATTCTAAAACACGTCTACTAGGGAGAGGTTTCCGCATCCTTATAAAGAATGTTTCGTTCTCCTCTCCAACCAATGTGAGATCTCACAAAGTTAAAAGATGAAGTTTTATCATAGTAAGTAACCTTTCATTATAATGCTTACCCCGGTCGTGATTTGGCGAACAAGCTCGGTTGTTCTTGGATTAGTAAGGCCATCCCCATAAGCAATTAACTTATAAGGTACCGTATAAGGCAACAAGTTAATTGCTGCAGTGAAGACATCAATGCAGTAGCCACTGAACATGTCAGTTCCTTCTACTTGTGAGACAAATTCTTGGTAACTGACTCGTCTTGGGACACCAATTCTCAAATGCGCTCCACCGTTTGGAAACGCCCACCCGCGAGGCTTCTCTGCTGCTTGTCCAGGCCATACCACATCATATAGCTTTTGGTTTAAACTGGATTCATTAGGTGGTTTTGAGTAAAGGGTTTCAGGAGGCACAATCGACAAGCCAGAATAGTTAGACCAGTAACCAATTCGCCTTTCCCCTGAGCCGATAATATTGATCACTTCGAATGCAGGGCGAATCAAGTCCCGGTCTGGAGTGAACTCAACTGGACCTGTTATTCCAGTGAAATTTACGTCTAAAATATTCTGTAGTAGTGCCCTCCCACCATTGAAGACGCTCATGGCATTCAAGTTCAAAGCTCCAACATCAGTCCAAGTTAACTTGGAAAGATTTGAAAATGAAAGATTTCCACCTTCATTAAGAAATGAGTTGATTGCATGAGCAAGCATCCATACAGTATCATACGCATATAATCCGTAAGTACTCAATCCGAGTTGGCCGCTCGACGACTTTCCATTAGTCAAATTCGTCCACCTAGAAACAAATTTCCTTTTGAGTGCAGAATTTGGAGTATAAAGACGTAAAGCAACAAGTCCTTGAATACTTTCCATGGAACCAGGAGGAAGAGCAGAATTCGTGTCGAGTAGCAAAGAAAGCCAGTTCGTGGCTATCCATACATAGCCAGGTCCAGTCAATCCAAGATGTTGAGCTACATTGAGCACCACCATACCTGTGGACTCATAAGTGTGAACAACAAGTATTCGAGACGTGGTTAAAGTCACCTTAACAAGTGCATTAGTGACCTCGTCTCGACTCGCATCGGGCTTCAATGGTACTTTTAGTGAGATCTTACATCGTTTCTCGTTAAGTTGATCCCCCAATGCAGCAATACCATTTCTACCATGGTCATCATCAACAAAGATGGCAACCACCTCTCTCCATTCAAAGTAGTCTACTATTGCAGCTACTGCAGCCATCTGATACCGATCATTCTGTGACGTTCTGATAAAGAAAGGAAACTGAAGTGATGACAGTGTCGGATCGGTCGCCGAAAACGACAACAGAGGAACTTGCAGCTCATTTGCAATATGAGATATTATATGAGCAGTTACAGAGTTTTGGGGGCCAATTATGGCCACGGTTTTCGTCTCCATAAAACGCAAGGCTGCAGAAAAAGAATTACAAACCATTTTCATTCAAGATAAAACAATCAAGAACAGATATCATTTATCAGATTATATGCAACAAGTTCGACACATACACTCAACGATGCCCAAAAATCCACTGTAATTGGTATCATGTAAAGTAAGATTCAGCTTCGTCCCCCCAAGAACGGATGGATCAGAATTTACATCCTTGATGGCAGCTTCTACCGCGATTTTTCCAACTTTTCCTATCATAGAATGGAAAGAGAATAAAGCCCCAATGTTGACAACATCAGGCCTCGTGGATACATTTCTGCTATCTCCAATTGAGGAACTCCCACTGGAGAGAAGCATCAATACTAGAATGCATATAATCCTCATTCTGAACTGGATAATAACTATTCCTCAAATGCTATCCAATCTGTCAAAGATGCGAGGAACTGAAAAAAAAAACATAATGAATTTAAAAAAACTGCACACTCAAAGATCTAAGTGCTTCAAGATTGTGTAAAGGCGCCTGAAAATGTGAAGCAAGCACAGAATTGCACGAACAAATTATCCAAAGACAGTAAGTCAAGGAACAAAAAGCAGTATCAAACCAAGAACAACATCAGCTAGCGATAAATTCACAGAGGTATCAGATCTAAGTGCTTCAAGATTGAGTGAAGGCGCCTGAAAATGTGAAGCAAGTACAGAATTGCATGAACAAATGATCCAAATACAGTAAATCAAGGAACAAAAAGCAGTATCAAACCAAAAACAACATCAGCTAGCAATAATCCACAAAGGTATCAGATCTAAGTGCTTCAAGATTGAGTAACAGCGCCTGAAAATGTGAAGCAAGTACAGAATTGCATGAACAAATGATCCAAATACAGTAAATCAAGGAACAAAAAGCAGTATCAAACCAAAAACAACATCAGCTAGCAATAATCCACAAAGGTGTGGCAAAGGAAGAAGAATCAGAGAACAAATACCCAAAAGCATCAAAGGGGGCATTCCAGATTGGACAATCAAGATTCATACATTTCAGATAAGGTGCAAACCAACGAGTACTGAATTCACAGAACCCACTAAAAGATTCAATAACCTCATCCTAGTGAAGATATACTTAATAAACAGAAGCCTCTTCGACAAGAACAAGCCAAGAGAATGTTAGCTCGTTGGCAAAATGAGGGGCCATCTTCATCGACTCTAACTGGTGGAGAGTCTTCTCATGTGAATACGGATGCCCTCCAAAACGGGCACAGAACCGTTCGAAGAAAGCATTAAATGATTGAAAAGACCAAGCGCGCTAAGCCTTGCCTTAATCCCTTAGCTGCTGGAGAATCAATCACCGCCGACTATGGGGCGCCCCAAAAATAGCTCTCACAGCTCTGCGCGCTACCCTTTTCAGCCATTAACAAATATTGGCACTGTCATGTTGCGCAGTACGCACGTTCACACTCTGACCCTCCATTACAATCGATACCCATAACCATTTTAAGACCCTTGAATCGAATTTCATCGCAGTGGAGTCTTTTAGTGGTGAAGGTGAATCGATTGGGGGGTGCAAATTTTCTACTGGGTTTTGTTTTTTTCTTGTTTGGATTGGAATATCGTCATTTATATCACGTTTTTCATAACATAAACAGAAGCTAAGAAATTTTGAAATGGAAATTGAATTTCTTCGTTCTTTTCCTGAGAAGAATCATATTTCTATGCGTACAAACTCATGTACGCCAAATGCTGTTTATGGAAATTCGTGTACCCTCGTATGGAATCAACTTACAAATATTCCTTAAAAGTTAAAACATTAAATATATCTTGAAATATAAAAAGTGACCAAAAAGTTCAAAACTTTGAACTTTGTGTTCTAAATTATATTAGTTCAATGACATAAAACATTAAAAAAAATTACAAATCTATTAAAAAGTTGGATAATTATTAAATGCTTAAATATAGAACTGTCGGTTCCGAAGGCTATAAGAAATTTTTTAGAGGGTGTTTGTCAAGTGCCGACTCAGAGTTTGGATAATATATTTAATAGAGTCAGATAGCCTATGTTTCTTAAACCCGTGTTTCAGGTACAGATCTAGATTTTAATATATTTAAATAACTTAATTTTTTAAAATTATGTAATAATAAAAATGTGTTTTTTAGAATAAAAAGGTGTTAATATCCAATAATCGCAATATTCTTTTTAACATTTAATTATAATGTATAATTATATAGGGAGGGAAATTTACATAGTTTTTTTTGTAAATTTAATTTAATTATATTAAATAAATTGTATTAGAAGACAAAAAATCTAAAATTCAAGTAGTATTAATATATAGAATTATAAGATATTTATTTTTATTAAAAATTTATTTCTTAGTATTATACTCTGAAAAATTAAAAAAAAAAAAGAATTTTCTAAATTTTAATATTTTAAATTATAGCACAAAAATAAAAGTAAAACTGATGGTGGGCCGTGGGCCGTGGGCCGTGGTCCTTGGGCCTACAATTTCAGCCCATTTATCACTTTTATCGACCCTTCCTTTTCAGTAAAATTTAATCCATCTGGCCACTTGTCCCATTTCATGAACAGACTCCACGTGGAAAAAAAGGTTCCCGCGAACAGCCATGGCCACTTTGAAAGAGATCCTAACTAGGCGACCCGTCGCCGCCACCATCAGGCTCACTGTCCCTGCCGGCGGAGCTCGGCCAGCGCCACCGGTGGGTCCGGCGCTTGGTCAGTACCGGCTGAATCTGATGGCCTTCTGCAAGGATTTCAATGCCCGAACTCAGAAGTACAAGGCGGACACACCCATGGCCGTCACCATCACGGCTTTTAAGGACAACACCTTCGAGTTCACCGTCAAGTCGCCGTCGGTCACTTGGTACTTGAAGAAATCCGCCGGGATCGAGTCTGGGAGCAGCCGCCCAGGCCATGTGGTCGCCTCCACGCTCTCCCTCAAACACATTTACGAGATCGCGAAAGTCAAGCAGTCCGATCCTTATTGCCAGTACATGCCACTAGAATCCATTTGTAAGTCCATTATCGGCACTGCCAATAGCACGGGAATTAAGGTTGTTAAGGAATTGGATTAATGCAATGCCTAAATTTTTGGAGGTTTTCTCCCTTTCTTCTTCAGTATATCGCTTCAAATTGAGAATTTTTTTCAGTGACCTCATTCTTCTTACTGTGACTGAATGTTACTTTGTATGCTAAGTCTGCAATCTACTCTGCTGATATATTTAGTTTTTGATAGAAGTTGAATTAATTCCATCGAGTTACTTGTGAGTTTCAAGGAAAGGGGGGCTTGGACAATAGCTAAATGTAGCCATCTCTCTTGGAAGAAAAGTTAATTTGGACGACAGATGCAATTTTGTTATGGGACTATAGCTAATTTGTAAGACGTGAACTGATTTCATTTTGATCACTGAATATGTTGCCTTTGCTTGCATTAGCCAGTTATTAACTTCTCCCAATTTGATATCACTGGTATAAAATACTGAATTTGATTGTCTTTGTGAAGCTGTGCTTCGTTGTCATTCACCTGCAACTGATTAGTCGACCTTTACTTTTCATCTAATTTGCATCTTTACCGTTAGCAGATATTGTTTTCTTTAAGCTTTTTCTATTGGGTTACTTCTCAGGTTTTAAAACGCATCTACTCGAGAGAGGTTTCCACATTCTTATAAGAAATGTTTTCTCTCTCCCATCGACATAGGATCTCACTGTATTATTGTGAGTTAGGCCGAATGGTTGGAATATTGGAAAGAAAAGCGGAAAATGGTGTAATTTTTCTCTCCAATTTCTATGAGTGTCTAGGCCAATTTGCAAGTGATCTTTAAGTTAGTAGGTGATCATTATGTAAACTTATGGCTTACTGTGTCTTTGGATATCAACTCTACAAGAACAATGCATTGATTTTCTACCCTCACTCCAGTTCACCTGGATTTGTCATTTTTAGGTGTTATGGCTGTGCTTCATGACTTGCCCTACACCATTAAATTGTTGTTGTATTCTTTGCTTGGTCAGGTGGTAACAACTCTGACTTGTTTATTTGGCCCTCATTTATGATTAGACACCATGGGTCATCAAAGTTTAGGAAGTTTGGTGTAGCATTTTGAATAGGGAACTTGGGTTTGCTATTTTGGTTTATGCTAATGTAGCATGTTTCACCATTCTCCAACCTACCCCTTGCTCTCATCCGCAATGATGATAGTTCTTCTAGACTGTCCTAGTTCACTACTAGCAAATAATGTCCTCTTTGAGATTTCCCTTTTGGATTGTCCCTCAAGGTTTTAAAATGTGTCAATTAGAGAGAGGTTTCCACACCCTTGTTTCGTTCCCCTCTCCGACCAACGTGGGACGTGAAAGTTTCTCAATCTTATGAATAAAGAATGATAAACTATTGGTTGGTATCATGGCTCCTTTTCTTCACTGCTTATCCTGTGGAGTAATTCAAGAATTTTAATGTGCAGGACAAGTTCATTCTTATCTTCCCTTTGATGTGAGTTGTTGAAATGTGTGTGATTGATTGTGTATTATTGCTTAAAGATTGTCGGTTTTCACCTTTTTTTCTAAATGGCACCAGCAATCTCTAAGGATATGATCAGGTCATGAGAAATTAGGCACAAGAAAAAACCAAAATGGATTCATCACAAGTCTCCATTATGAGATAGATTAGTTCCACCCCCACTGTTTAAGTCATCTTACTCAACCCAATGCTTTGCCCAATTGGATATGAACCTTTGAAAATATTAGAACACTTAACTTGTTTCATTTGTCTTTATCTTTTTCAACTTAGGTGTTGTCAGCCTTGTTTGAGATAATTTCATATTACCTGCTGATTACACCGAACTCCCCATAACTCAACTAGATAGATTAATTGTAATGTCCATCCAAATTCAATATCCGATAGTCCCTTTCTCTGTATCTCCTACGACATGGTCACGTTATGTTTATCTTAAAGTGTTTTTAAGAGCGAAAACTGTTTCCATAAACTCGCACTAATCAATTTAGCATATTTTATCCCCACTTGCATATTTTTTAGGAAAATTCTATAGAATTAGTCTAATCTAGAAACGTTTATCTTTGAAGCTCGCACTTTCTCGATATAGCTCATAAAAACACAATAAAAGAGAGAAGAAATAAAAGAAAAAATGCTTCCACTGAGATCCAAGCAGAGATAAAATAATTGAAAGCAAAACATTGACCTAAAAGTTAACACAACTTTAAGTTATTACAAAATCTTTAATGCACATGATTTCCTACTATATTAATGAAATGTAAGCCATAATTTCAATTATTTAAACCATTATTCTTGTAATTGCTACACATTCTCCTAAACTTTTGTCTATATTATCATAATTGAAGTAGCCACCCAATCCAATAAATGTAGTAAAATATATGAAATTGACCCTTTATTTATCCAACCTTAAATTTATGTAAGTGTTATAATGTCGTAACAAATATACGATTCATTATTTATTGGCGGTACGAAATTCAACTATATGATATTTATCTAAATTTAAAGTATAAATGAAAACAAAAGTTTAGGATAAAAATTTCATGATAAAGAAAATGATCTTCCTCCAAATGAACAACATACTCAACTTACTACAAAGACCGAAACATTAAGGACGAACATCTTCAACCATATTAATATTAAACGTGATTAGACTAATCATGAGGATTGATTATGGCACAAGTATGAGAAACAAGAAAGTAGTTGTGTGATAATTATCAATCAACATCCCTCACCACCTAATACTGATGGGCTAATAATACACCTTAACCATGCCCATTATAGAGAGAATTTGAATCAAAGACAGTAATGGTAGTTAAATGGATTGAGAAAAGTATTAAAAGCAAAAAAAAGTTTTGAAAGGCAAAAAGAAGGAGAGCCACCCGCCACCAGCTGCCGCAGGAGGAGGGAAGGTCTGAAAAGCTCAACAGAGAGTAAAAAGTGGAGAGAGAGTTGTGGGGGAAGGCCAGCCAACCAGAGCAACGCCAAACCCCACCGTTCAATTCAATCATCCATCAAATTTTTAGAACTTCACAGTGATTTTGGTATATATAATTTGTAATTATCTTTGATTAACCTTACAATCTTGTGATTGTTTTACAAGGAAACTTCCCCCCCTTTTCTCTATTTAATTTCTCTTCTTGTTTCTTCTTTTTAATCCCAACCCATTAAGGAAATCCACCCAGGAGAAAGATTCTTGCTTTCCCAGATCGACCCTTTTGAAACCCAGATAAGATCGTATTGGATCTGAACGTTTTGGGTTAGCAACATGTCGTGTTCATCTTCATCGGCGTCTGAGGATGATGAGGGAATCGATTCTTACAGGAAAGGAGGGTATCATGCGGTGAGGATCGGCGATCATTTCGCCGGCGGCCGCTATGTTGCTCAGAGAAAGCTAGGTTGGGGTCAATTCTCCACCGTCTGGCTCGCCTATGATACTCGCACCTCTGTACGTTTCCCCCCCCCCCCCCCCCCCCCCCCCCCCCCCCCCCCCCCCCCCCCCCCCCCCCCCCCCCCCCCCCCCCCCCCCCCCCCCCCCCCCCCCCCCCCCCCCCCCCCCCCCCCCCCCCCCCCCCCCCCCCCCCCCCCCCCCCCCCCCCCCCNCCCCCCCCCCTAACCCCATTATATGTTTTATCGCTTTGCTTTGATCTTTCGTCTTTCCATGATTGTCCCAATTTTTCGTTCTTCGTATTGGGTTTGCTTGAATGTTCATGATTTCGTGCATTGTGAGGAGTTTATTTGGATCATTTATGAGCATTTGTAGTTTATTTGGATCCGGACGGCGATACCCATTTCTATTTGTCGTTAGATCTTTATGATGTAGCTCACATTTACTTAGATTTCTTTCCCTATCATCATTAATTCAATAAAGTGTTTGATATGTGGGGTTCTTTTTGGACTGTTTCTATTTTGATTCATATCCCCATTTCCCATTTATGGATGGTTCCCGTTTTTTTTTCAATCTTAGTTATAATCTTAGTTAAAAACTTGCCTAACAGAGTTTGAAATGAAGTGAAATAGGTATTTAGATCCATGAAAAGTGGTATCCCAGGCTTTAATATATGTTATATTGATCTTGATCTTTGGTAGATTATATATATAATGTTGTTTCTAGTTTATATGTTTTGGTTTTGTAATTTTTTCCTTTCCTTTTCTTAGAAATATGTATCACTTAAGATCCAGAAAAGTGCTCCCCAATTTGCTGAAGCTGCACTTCATGAAATTGAAGTTCTTTCAGCAATTTCGGGAAGCGATCCCTCGAGCTCCAAGTGCATTGTGCAACTGATTGATCATTTTAAGCACGCGGGGCCGAATGGACAACATCTGTGTATGGTTCTTGAGTTTCTTGGCGATAGCCTACTTCGGTTGATCAAGTATAATCGTTATAAAGTTCTCGAGTTGAATAAAGTCAGGGAGATCTGCAGATGTATTTTGGTTGCTCTGGACTATTTGCACAGAGAACTTGGCATTATCCACACTGATCTGAAACCTGAAAATATTCTTCTGTTTTCCACCATTGATCCTACCAAAGATCCTGTAAGATCTGGACTGGCCCCTATTCTTGAAAGGCCTGAGGGAAACACAATTGGTGGAGCAACCATGAATCTTATTGAGAAGAAATTGAAAAGAAGAGCAAGGAGAGCAGTCTCGAGGATCTCCGAACGAACCGTTTCTTTGGGAGGAGCGTCCCCGAAGCCTGAAGACAGAAAACTAGATGGTATTGATCTGAGGTGCAAGATTGTGGATTTTGGTAATGCATGTTGGGCAGATAAGCAGTTCATGGAAGAAATTCAAACAAGACAGTACCGAGCTCCTGAAGTCATACTGCAGTCTGGATATTCCTACTCGGTTGACATGTGGTCGTTTGGTTGCATCGCTTTCGAACTCGCCACAGGTGATATGATGCTTACTCCAAAAGTTGGACAAGACTATAGCGAGGACGAGGTAAGGATGGTTGCTAACACCAATTCCTTAGTAATATGCTATTTTTGGAATATACGAGTGAGCGATATGGTAGTTTTGGAACTTATCATTATTAGCTGGTTCGAAATACTCGATTGTTCCTTCCTGCCAATAGAACAGAATGCTATCCTACTCTTTTCTTAACTTGTAAAAATGTTCATATTCGTGTGTTTATATGCACATATTGCGATGCCTGTGACGATGAGGATACCGAGCGTGTTTGAAAGTTAAGGGAGCCGTTGTTTTGTTTGATAATGCTTTATCTTTAGCAGCATTTTGAGCTTCATTTAGTTGATAGCTATATGCAAGTAGGGGAAATGTGGAAGGTAAAACTTCGATTGATATCTCATTTGGATGTCAAGTTTCTGTGTTGGTCACATATTTAGCTTCTTCACTGTGCTGCTTTCAGGATCATCTTGCATTAATGATGGAACTTCTTGGAAAGATGCCTAAAAAAGTAAGCAAACTGTGCTTCTTATAGTGTATCAATGCCTCTTGCTCTCCATTTCTCATATGTTTTGGTTTGGCACCCAGATTGCTGTTGGAGGCGCTCGATCGAAAGACTACTTCGATAGGCACGGGGACCTGAAGAGGATTCGGAGGCTGAAATTCTGGCCTCTCAGTCGACTGCTGATCGAGAAATATAAACTTCCAGAAGCTGATGCTCAAGCTTTTGCTGAGTTTCTGAGTCCCATTCTTGATTTCGCTCCAGAGAAGCGACCAACCGCGCAGCAATGCCTGCAGCATCCGTGGCTGAATCCGAGGAACGTAACTCAAAGTGAGGTGAAGAATAAATCCGAGGTCGAAAAGGTGAATGTTGGAATGAGCAACCTCCAGATTAGAGTGGGTAAGTGAAGAACTGGGTAGGCGGGGACGAGGCATTCGACTGCAGAGCAACAATACCGTTTTCAGATTCTTTCCTCGGTCTGATCGATCGTCGTACCGTCATCGTCTGACTTCCTGTTACAGGTCATTTTTTTTGTTGTTGTTTTTGATTTTTGAAAATGATTTGATTCTTGATCAACTAATACAGCATGTAAATTAGTATATTGTTGTTCCAAGACATTGACACAAGTGAGTGAATCATTGAGTACTACGGATATAGAAACTGTTGGTGGGAGGGATGAGGGCTGTGCTCTAAAGCATCCTCAAGATCACTGATTTATATGTTCTACATGCTATCAATATGATTTCTTTCACTTTACACACATTCATCGTCTCTCCGAACTCCCATTACTGCAAAGAAAAATGCTCGTTCTTCGGTTACATTCTAGTCGTTTTATTAGTCGCATTCAAATATCGAATCTTTATCGACCCCTCCGATCACCCGGGCGATTATTGATTGACGTGTCCTATTCAAGAGAAGTTTTTTGGTATGAAATAACTTTATTTTTTAAAATTAAGATTTTACATACGTTTTCAAAACTTTATTTTCGATTTTCGACTGGTGCTAAATTATTTTGAAAATTAAACTATAATATATTGTTAAAAGATTTATTTATTTTAATTTTTTTAGTCGAGATTCAAACCTTCTTTTGAAACTATACATATATCTTAATTAATCGAATTATACTCGAGTTTAAATTATGAAATTTTAAAATATAAAAAACAATTATAAAGTAAGTTTGTACTCATATGAATATATAAAATAATTTTATTTTAATAATTATAATGGATATAAAATAAATATAGAATTTAAAAAACTAGTTAAACTAGGATTAGTTGGGCAATAATCCATCATCTATAAAATAAAGAAAAATAGATTTCTTAAAATCAATTATTTAACTTTTTAATCCACAATTATAATTTATCAATTAAAAGCTATTTAAAAGTTTATAATATTTTAGTTTTTATATAAAAAAAAAATAGTTAACAAAAATGGAACATTAATATTTTACTATAAAATCAAATTTGAAATTAAAGTTAAAAATATTGAGAAATGAATTAAAATCCTCAAAATACTAAATAATAATTTTTAAACTAACATGTATAAATCATATTACCATTATTGAAATATGAACCTATTAATTATTAGATATTCAAATTCATAGTTGATTATTATTATTTTAAAGTTAAATTATAAATAGGACAAAAAAAAATGTTAATTTCGCTTAGAACTTTTAAAATTATAAATTAAAATTTTATTATATAAAATTTAATTTTATATATAATAGAGAAATTAAATTGAAAATAATTAATTAAAACCTAACGAAAACAAAATTAAAAATTGAAAGACTAAAAGACTAAAATTTAAAACTTAAAATTTATTAATAGATTTCCCCAAATTAACATTAAATTTGAAAGTTAACGACTAAATTTATAGGTTAACATATTTAATTAAATAATAATATAAATAAATAAATAAATATATATATGGAAGATATTTATCGGAACTGTAAATTCCAAATTGAGGTAAAATATGAAGGAATGGTTGGCAGTACCATATAAGGGCAACGAAGGGTATTTATGTAATTTAGGATCGGCAGTCAATGTAATTAAAGAGCGGAACTTTAAAAGTGTAACCTAGTTGGGTATCGTTTAGGGTTAGAGAGAGAGAGATCGTGTCGTTTTTTGTTCATTTTGGGTGGTGGAATCGGAAGGCAAATCGAAGTTCAGCATCCTCCGTAATCTTGGTTAGGGTTTGTTTCTTCCATTCTTTTTCCCGTTGAATCCACTCCTTTCTTATTCACAATCCCTCCAATTTACTCCTTTTCGTTCGATTATCAGAGTAGCTTTTGGAGATTGCAGACAATCATGTACGGACCTAGAGGGTAAGTCGAGAAATTTTGACCTTGTTTCTGTCTCTTCCCAGTCGGGCTTTCTGGTTTTGTTTCTCTGTTGTTGTGTTTCTTCTGACGTTCCGCTGGATTATTTGTTTTGTTGTTCCATTGGAATATCTGGGGTTTTGATGGATTCTGCTTGAAATTGCGTGTTGTTTTAGATTGACGGCTGGGGGATCGAGGAACGAGTTCCTCTGTTATTCTCCTCCGCTTCTTTTAGGTGTTTTGATTGTATGCAAACACTGCCTAATGGGTTTACCAGTAGAACATATTCTTGAAAAACAATATCCTTTGGTAATATAATTTCAATTAAGTGTTTAAAGAAAAAGAAGGTGCGATTTATGAAGCCTTCCATTTGTTGCATGTTCTTTGCATGAATCTCCTCTTTAAATTTAAACTTTAGAATAAACTCATCCTAGCCGGTGGCTTTTCTAGCCCTTCCTTGGATCAGGTAGATTATCTGGAGTCTTGTCATATAATGGCATATATCTGAGTCATGTTAGGATTTGATTTTCTTTATCAGTTCCAACCAGAAAGCTATAATTTGAATTTTGAGCAGTGTCTCATGAGCTCTCTTTTCTATACCACTGTTAAATTTTGAAGTTTTTGTGATTTTGTTGGTTTATTAATGTTCTCATTTATAGTTTTTACTTTAAATTGAGTGCTTATTTTGGTATAAATATGGGACAAACATTTTTTACTACTTGATGAGTAGATGTTCATTGAGCCTCAAAATGACTTTTTGCTGCTACTTTTTGAAGTAATTATTTATTCCATATACAGTTAAATTGATTTGTTTATAGGAGTGGTAATAGCATGAAACTTAATTGACCATAAATCGCGCACACCAATAGGTTTTAGAGGTATAGGTTGGGCTTGGTTTTATTAACTTGCTTGAGTGGGGATTTTCCTTTTCTTTTCTGGGTTGGTAAATGAAGGGCAATGTTGGGAAGCGGGGGGGTTTCGGATGGGTACGAAGTCGGCTCAAAAAGACAGAGAATGATGGAACCGAATCCCTACTTCGCAGTTAGCAGCAGCACTGTCGGATTTCAACCATATGGCTATGGGAGTTTTCCTCCTACTCACGTCTTTCCTGTGGTTCGCCTTAGAGGGCTTCCCTTCAACTGCTCTGACATTGACATTTTCAAGTTCTTTGCTGGACTGGACATTGTGGATGTGCTACTGGTCAACAAGAATGGGCGGTTCATGGGAGAGGCCTTTGTTGTCTTCGCTGGCTCTGTGCAAGTTGAGTTCGCATTGCAACGGGATCGACAAAATATGGGGCGTAGGTACGTAGAAGTCTTCAGGTGCAAAAGGCAGGACTATTATAATGCTATTGCTGCTGAAGTAAACTATGAGGGCATTTATGATAACGACTACCATGGAAGCCCTCCTCCTCGACAAAAGAGGCTCAGTGACAAGGACCAGATGGAATACACCGAGATACTGAAGCTGCGTGGTCTGCCTTTCTCTGTGAAAAAATCCGACATTATTGAGTTTTTTGGAGAGTTTGACCTCGCTGAAGATAGGATACATATTGCAAGCCGTCCAGATGGGAAGGCTACTGGTGAGGCTTACGTTGAGTTTGCTTCAGAAGAGGAGGCAAAGAGAGCAATGAGTAAGGACAAGATGACAATTGGGTCGAGATATGTGGAGTTATTTCCTTCAACCTCAAATGAGGCTAGAAGAGCTGAGTCAAGGTCAAGACAGTGAGTAAGTAGGTAATTCGGTCACGGAGTCTCTAAAGTTCTCTGTTGCTATATTTTTGCACCGAGGCTTTGCTGTTCTTGTAATTTTCCAAATTTGTAGGATGACGTTTTATCATTGTGGAGTTAATCGATACTGCATTTTGAGATTGAAGTTGTTAGCCCTATGAGTTCATAACTTGGTTAAATCACCGACCTTTCCTCCATTCTACGCATCTGTCATTTAGGTACCCTTTTCTCTGCGGGGTTTACTTGAAAATGAGATAAGTCTAGGAGGTCACAGTTGCAGGAACTCAACTATTCAAGTGCCACCTCTCTTTCATGCGGTGAGGATCTTTGTGCAGCCCTTTGGTGTTTTATCCTTATTTTCATGGAAGACATAAAGTGTATTCTTTTTTCTTCTCAGAATTTTCAGTTTAGATGCTTAAATATGTGGAAGATTTTGATAATAATAAGAGTAAAAGAATTAAGTACATTTTTAATGATGTATATTATGTATGAGAATGGTGTGGCTATTCAGGATTACTCTTCAATAGGTTTTATAATGAGCTCCTTGAGTCAAAAAAACAGGGTCTGAACTGGGAACAAGAAACTTAGCTCACCCACCAGAAGTAGGAACCTTTGATGTATGAACGTTGAAGAGATGGTAGAATTGAAACTTTCAAAATCGACAAATTTTAAATTACATATAAAGGTGTATGAAAAGTTATCATTTTGTTTATAGATATTACCTTTCATGTAGAGATTTGAATGTAAACTTCTTTTGAAGGAAATAAAAGCTAAACTATGTTTATGTTGGCAATATAACCAGTTTTGGGCCATTCTTTGTTCTCTCATTGGGATTTTCACCTCTTTAAAGTTAGTCATCTTAGTACGACAGAAACAAACTGAGTTCCTCTGAAGGGCTTCTAAGTTTTCAATGTGTTCTTGTACGAGCTCATTCCAGAAAGGTTTCTAATTTGTTTCTGGCACATGCATGGTCTCAATCTGGATTAGAATCTCAGTCTGCTTCTCTTTTTTTCCGGACTCTTTTGTCCTTTTATTTCAGCAAACATCACTTGTTGGGTGACTAAAGACACAGAACTTCAAGACACAGAACTTCAAGCCAAGTGTCCACCGTTAACAAATAGAACTTCTTT